CGGAGATGAAATAATTATCCCGCAACACGGAAGGCGGGGTGGTGTCATGCCTTGCATGGTCTTCTGACCTGATAGCAGGTCAGGTTCCTTTGAACAGATATTTTTCCATCTCTTGCATTCCAGATCACTATTGCATTGACGACACATATATTGAATTCTTCAAACACCTGGTGGAATGCTTGACATTGATATGTGACCCTGCTCAACATTAAAACTTTGCGTGGTCTGCCAAAGGCTACCAGTTTGTTTATTCGTCTTCGCAAGGTGACCTAAAATGGGTGTGTGAGAAGGTTGGATTGCATAACTACAGGCGGAATTATTTTTGCAGCAGATGAATGACCCTTGGGTGTTTTGATGTCCACATCGCCCACAGCAAAACATTGGTCAGCCACGAAGATTTTTTTGCGCACAGGGTGCCTGCAGAGTTTCATCCTGGGGCACGTTTGGAGCGTGTTTTTTACACGATGTTTGCCACTCACAGCTGCTCGGTATGGGCAAAGCCTTGAACGGCTCAGTGCTCACGTACTTGTGTGAAGCAAAATATTTTGGGGCATGGTACCCCAACGTTCTCAATGTCCGGCTGAATAAGGCCTACATAGATTTTAATGAATGGAAGAAATCAAAGCACCTTATTGTTACGCAACCGCGGTTTATTCCCTCTTGCCTTTCCCCAATTGGGCGTATTTCTTATCCTTCATTGGGTTCCAAGGTTGTTGCAGGCAAAGCCCTTTCATTTTGGTTTTATGAAAGAATGTGCACATGGACAAAATGAAATGGTATAATAAGTCTTGACAAGCAAGCAACGCATTGCATTTGGACTTATTGTGAAGTGTTGCGGATCATGGACGAGGCTGACACGCTGCTGACAAGTGAGCAGGGTGAGGCATTATTTACAAAAGATAACACTTGAGGTTGTATTTCCTTTTAAACGCTTCTAGCTCAAGGTGCACTGGCACACATTCTAACAACCGTGCTTTGTGGCTTCTTTTGCCAAAGCATCATCATATGGAACACATGTTGGTTGATGCAATGAAAATTTTGATCAACCCAAACTTCTACACATTCTTATACGCAGAAAATTTAATCGACTTGATGGGTCGGGTGGCAAGAATATGCCATAGAAGCTCATTGACGTTGCATTTGTTCCAAAAGTACAAGCTGTTGTTGGCCCTGCATGCTGCAAACGGACGTCTCGATTGACCCTTCCGTCAATGCGGCCAAGTGGCAAAAGATGTCTACATTCCCGGAGTGGTAGGGAGCCAAGGATGGCCATGCATTGGGAAATGCGTCAATCTCAATCTAAAAGGGAGAGACCTGTAAAATATTCTTGATGACCTATATGTATTGAAATATACATCAGCCATGTCCCCAAGATCCCAAGAATATTCTTAATCATCTCTCCATTTCCGTTTGAGTGGCATACAATTACCAGGTTTTTGCTGTAGGCGTCATGTTTATTTTTTGTTTTTAATTGTTTTGGGCCAATCTAGAGGCTCCGGATTTTGATGGGATGTCATGGGGCCTCATAACCCTTCAGGACTTTAGGTCCCACGCTCCATTTCTCAGGACACCCCGACTTCCATCAAGAACATTAGGGAAATAAAAATATCTTTAATATCTTTAAAATCATTATTTAAACATATATTAGAACTTGTTATATATATATGTACATTATTACAAACTAAATATCTTTAAATATTTCAATAAATTACAACCCAATAACTTACTTAGAAAAAAATATCAAATAATAATCTATATATAACCATCCCATCCATACAAAAAAATATATATACAAAACACTTGATATCAAAAGGGTAAAATAAAACTATCCGACAATATACGCCGACCCCAGCCGCTGGGGAGAGCAAACCTGTCCAATTGCGCTTGAGAGCAAAAATCATTTTCTTATTCCGGACTATCTCATGTTCCTCTTCCGTGGCCCCAGCTTGACGACGCCGACGCTGCAAGCACCAGCCATACTTCTTTTTGCTGCAATGCAACGTGCCAGAGAGGTA